GGGGGTCGGTGGCAGTGGCGGTTGCGCCAGCCTAAACAGCAAAGTCACCGTCTGGCCGTCCGATTTGCAGATCGGACGGTCGACGTTTGTCGTCCAAAATCACGGAGGGCTGGTCTTTCCGTGCGGTCCCACGACAGTTGGAGGACGGATTTGGATGCCAGTGAACAGCTACCCTGGGTTGGATGTAGCCCATTCGCATCTCCCTCCCACGAGCGCATTCCAACGCGATGTGACCTCCGCGACATCGGCCATCGTCTTCGCTGCCTCGCAGTCGCGCCACGTGTTTCCGAGTGTGGGTTTCTGAGTTTCCGCTCTTCATCCCAGTCGATGTCCAGCTTCCGAAGACAGGACACCCTGTCCTTGCGTTCTGAATCAGCACGTGTCCGCCATTGCCTGCGCTTTACCGTCGCCAACGAGCTGCTCCCGTCCTTCATGGTACAGCGTCTGTCTCCTCTCGTCGTCGCGTCATTGCCGTCCTTCCGACTGCTCGTGCGCTCCAGTTGTCGGAGTTTCGACACCCCGTCTTCGCGTTCCCCGTGGACAAGTGGTCGCCATCGTCTGCGCTTCGCCCTCGTCAAAGAGTTGCGCCATCTCTTCAAGGTACAGCGGTGTTCTGCCTGCCCACGTCTACGCTGTTGACGACAACTGTCGGGGCTGCCATTGGGGCACATTGCTGCCGGCGCATGACAGCCGCCGCGGCGCGACGCGTGTCGCATGTGTTGGGAACGGCTATCGATGAAACTGGGGCACACGATGTTTGTGTTTACTATTCTTCTCAGTCTTTTTTTTCGTTGCCATCGTCCACATCATTCCTGCTGGGGTTGAGGTTGGCATTGGGGCACATGGTTAACATGCCATCGCTTCGACTGCTTGCGAACTCATGCATGGAAAGTCGTTATGAGGAAGCCTGTGTCCGGCCCACATTTATAGATGTTTACCTCGCACTGCCTGTAAGTGGTTGGTGACATTTGGTTATGGGTCCAACATCCCACGGGCCAGGCGTGAATCTTTGTTGTTTATTTATTGACCCATTTATTTCGTCGTTGCTTGACGTACTTCCAGGAGGATGTGTCCTATCATGAGTTAGACGTGCACAAGGAGCGGTCCGACTGTCGCGGAATCCAGAAGTCCGTCGGGATCCGAATTTGGGAGAAATCGAATCGACGGTGAACCGGTCATGAATCGGTCGCTGTGAACTGACTGTCGGCCAATCGTGATCAGGAATGCAAGGCTATGAGAGGTACGAGGCTAGAGAAAACATGGCTTAATGACCCTCAGGCGACCCCCACAAACCCCTACTAACCGCACATCGATCAGGAGGCTGTGTGCTGGGACTCCAAGCCTTTGCAGCCCGCGCGGCTTCGACACTGACGCGCCTTCGCACGCGGATGACAATAACGACTGCCACCGACAACAACCCCCATATACCCCAGTCACGGCAACACACACGGCGAGCTTGACTGCGCACCCATAGCTCTCTGACAACGAAAACATACGTGATGGACCAGGTCGTGGAAAGAGACGGTTAGCATCACCCGGAACTCGAAAGTTCGCCGTGATCCGAACTTGGCGGTTTCTTATGGTGCCAAGAATGTTTCCACGCTCTCTCGCAGTCAGAAGAAAGGCTAATCGCGGGTGTCAGAGTCACCCCGACCCCAGTCGACCCCTGTTAACACTGCTGTTGGCCCCAATCGACCCTTGTTAACACTGATTCTCCCTATCGACAAAACGAGCCCGTGCGGTGTCAGAGTCACCCCGACAAACCCCGATCCGTGTAATTGACAAGGCGATCTCCGAAGTTGGCGGTTGCAGGAGCGGCGAGGTACCGGTTTAGGAAGTTGGCGATCGCAAAGTCCGTCGGGATCCGAACTTGGCGGTTGCAAGAGTGGCGAGGAAGCGATTTTTGCGTGGCACGTCGAAGATTTGGAGGGTCAGCGGGTGCATACAAGGAACGGTATGTGCGGGCGTATCGAATAAAGGCTCTGCCGCACTCGAATGTCCGCTGGACGAGATCACGCACAGAAGAAAGGGCAGTGGTGGATGCAGTACTTCAGAAATTGGCGCTGCAGGATGCCCAATTGACCCCTGTTAACACCGATTCTCCCCATCTTGAAAGCGAGCTCGTATGGTGTTTCAGTCACATCTGCCCCCGTGCAGAGCCTATTTGCCTTGCCTACCGAGACGCTCAGACCAAAGGCCGGAGGCTGCACGACTATTCCTTCAGCCGTGCAATGTCGTGAAGGATTAGACCCTCGCGACACTTCGAGTCTGACACTTGAGTGTCATAAGCGGTACTCGGATCCATGAGGGACCGCTTGATTATGGGCAGTACATAGTACGTCATCATTGCGACTGCTTATGCATGTTTGCATTGCGAGTCGATATGAGATAGCCCTGCGTCCGCACGATTTTAAACTAAGTCTCGCGCGCGACGCCTATTCGATTTCCGCATCGGAAAGTTATGAGATGGCTACCAAGGGACTAGGAGGTTTGTCGCGTTGCTTGTGTTGTGTCGTTTCGTGTCTATGTGTGTGTTTTTTTTTTTTTTTTTCGTACAGTGGTGTGCGCGTGGTGTGTGGGATGCGTCCTAGTCGACCTACATCAAGCCGCGCTTGGGACTTCAACCCCCAAAGATGTCGGCTCGCGTGCGGGTCCGATAGGCGTATTACCGCGCGCACCCCCTATGCTACAGCGAATGACAAACGCCTTTGGCTGGTCCACCTCTACGATTGCAACTGATTAGCTTTCGTACTGTGGACTGGTAGCTCGGCGAGGATACGCCCACCGAAGGGAGGTGACAGCTCCCGTAAGGTGGAGGTTTTTAGTAGCAGGCGTGTTTGGTCGCTTTTTTGGTTCACGAGGGGCTGCCTTGGTAACAACCACTTGTGTTTCAATTTCTTCAGGTCTGTGTTTCATAGCTTTTTATGAGGTTGCACTGGGAGCCAGTGCTTGTTATATCAAATTCGCACCATGGATTTTGTCAGAAATGTTTGATGCTTCTTGGGGTTTTCTGTTTGATACTCTGACTGTGGTTATGTTAATTTTGGTCGTAGGGGCTCGCGAGAGGTATGACTGGCGCACTCGGCCGGAGCGGCTTGCGGAAGCTCCATGTATATTTGCGATGAAGGATTAAAACCAACTCCTGCGTGACGCGGCTGGGAGGGTCCTGCGCTGCCCTAGTGCGGTGCCGGACCGATGCGCTCAACAGGTGGCGCCGTTGTCGGGGATAACGGTTGCCTACCGTTGTCCCCGGTGGAACGACATCCGGGTATTGGAGTGTGACAAATAGGCAAAGTAAGAAGTTTCTCTTGACTTTGATGGTTAATCAATCGATGGTATTGGATAGAAACCAAGCGAAGATTGATTGTGTGAGATGGTTGTGGCTAGTGCAGTAACGGTGACACAAGAAGGGTAGGCGTTTTGTCTATGCGATCACGCACTTTAACTAGCATGATAGTGGTCGGAGTTGATACCCTCTTCTGACTTCAAGAGTTTCTGAGTTTGGATGATGTCTTGCATGGTTGATATGGATAAGGTGAGATGGGGTAGTATCAACATGGCTAAGTATGATGGGTATGAGAGTTGACCCTGTAAGGGACCTATCTGAGTGGTCATGAGGGCAACTGGGTACCTTTGCATTAGAGCGAGGCCAAGGATGAGTGAGGGAGCTTATTAAGTCAGGAGTCATCGAGGGACTTCGAGGAAGGTTGGGCTAAGGAGGCCAAAGGCTTTGTGAACCTAATTATGGGATCCTTGAGTCTGGGTTCTGAGTGGTTGATCGGGTTGTATAGCCATGAAAGTGTGAGGTCTGCCACGCGTGATGTGTTTGAACTAGGCGGAAAGGACTACGGGAAGTAGTAGATTTGCATGACACCCTTTCTATTAAAGGAAGGTATCTGGTCCTAGAGGCAGTCGGAGTAACAGTGGAGGAGCTAACACTTGACTATTTTGCTTACCTTTTGATGGGGCCATGGGTAGTAATTATTGTTAGACCTTCACTCGAACCTTTCCTAGGTTTGGATCATCCACTGGAGTCTATGAGTTGGAACTAAGGCCCTGAGACTAACCGTCTTAGGGCATTTCTATTTGAGTTATATGTTGAACTCAGTCCTATATGTCGGATACTGTCTGAGTAAGCTTGCCTAGTGTCTGATCGTGTGAGGTTATGTGTTTGGTGATTATACTCCTTTGATAATTATCCTTGTTAGAAATATTTACATGGACCATGTATCTGGAGTATGTATTTGAACTATCCAGTCTACAATGATTTATATGAGTGTCTCAAGTCCAACTTTCGATTTATGGTTGTCTATTAAGGTTTGTGTGTTTGGATTGCTCCTCAGAGAGAGGGTAGAGATATTATGCAGAATCCACATCTGATGCGGATTCAGAGGTGAATGGAGTGACTGCCTCTTGAGATGAGTACTTCTTAGGGAGTGGTCGATGTGTAAGGTCTATCCTAAGGAAGGTTGCAGTCTTATGTTATTGTTTCCCTAAGAGATGGTTTTGAAGAAGTTATAACCTTGTCTTGTAAGTAGTAGTGAGACCCACGTCGGAACTATGTTCCTGGTCCATAGTGGGGTGTTGTTGTTGTATCTTTTGGGATAAAATAACTACACTACTACTGAATAGGAGGAAAGTGTTTCAGTTATGTCAGATCATGGTCTATAAGGGAAGCAGTTACTGCATGCCACAGAAGGGTAGGGGGTGAATCCTCAACTATTTTTGTGTCAAGTAGGTTCACCAGCATAGGACGAGACTGTACACCCCGAAGCGTGTATGGTGAGGTTGTTTGCCTTGTCGGCAGGGGTCTGCAAGGAACAGACACTGGAATCGGAGGGAGAAGCAGTGAGGCTTGATCTTTGAGTGGGACTCGGGGATTTGAGATGTTATCCTTTCTGAGAAGGATTACACTACCCCTCGCCACAGTATACTTTTGTCAAAGCCGGGGAGTAAAGTGTGGTACTTTCACGAGTATTATGTCTGAGAGTGCTAATCGTTGGCATGTCTGTTGATATAGGCTTGCTGTTATGAGGTATTTGTGTATGTTTTGGGTAACTGACTAGCTTGTGTATGATGTGTCTGATTATTATGAGTATTTGTTATGTCAGTTACTTTGGTAATATATCGTCTTCCATGAGTTATTATGATTATGAGTTTTTAAAGATTTATGAATGCATTGTTCCTGTGATATATTACCATTATTATTTTCCTCTAAGCTGGGTGATCTGAAGCTCTGGAAAGGATGCATTTTAGAAAAAGACGAGCTGAAGCTGAGGCTTCAGGGGCTGCGATTGTAGAACGCAATTATTAGCATGGTAACAGAAAGCGTATGCTGGACGTTCTTTCTGTGATGGGCAGAACCCAGACCAGAGCGAAGGCAACTCATGATGCCTTATGCTAGGGAAGATCCCAGTGTGACCTTGCCTGTCAAGAAAGGAGATGGGATTGAGATTTCCTTGCCAAGGCATGTCAAGGAGGGAGAGTATATCTCTTCCTGGTGGGGCGCATTGATAGGCAAAGATATTTTCGCCTGGATCGAGTCCGGTCTCGATGACGATCAGGGATGCGCGATCGTGAGGGTGACTCTGTACGCCTCTTCCTCATTCAGGGTCGAGCATGGGATCGAGTTGGCACTTGGGCACGAGAGCCTGCTCGCGAGGCCTTTGAGAGTGGCTGAGGCAGCCGCAGTGAAGTGGGCGAAGGAAGTGTCTTGCGATGGAGAAGCGCAAGTGCTGACCCGTATAGAGGTCAAGTGTGTTAAGGAGTTTCTACTTTCGTCAGCGTCACTATGGGTCATCCTGCCCGAGTTTTTCATTGAGAAGTGTTTTGGTGGACAGGCGAGGATAGTGGCAGCAGCTGACGCCGCTTTGAAAACACGGGAGTGGGGGAATGGGTGCTATACATGCGAGCTGGTATATGGATTGTATCTGGACCTAAGGTTTTCTCCTCCTAGTCAGTGGCTCAGGAGCATGACTAATGTAGTGGACGCATATGCTAGTTCCCATGACCCAGATGAGGGAGTAGGAGACTTGGATGAGATTCGGGTAGCAGTAGTTAGATACCGAATGCCTTCTCTCCTACTGAGCGCGCTTCTGTTGACTTGGCTATGGTCGTCTCTATACCTTTTTGCTGAAGCGACTATTACTGTTTGTCTACGGTCAGCCTTGAGAGGTCCTGCCTGCATATAGTATTGTAAGAACTAGAAGTTTCTTGACGTAGATACAAGGTGAGGTGGCGAAATCTGAATATTGGTCATTTGCTCTTGTTTGCCCTAAGCTCACCTAGGTCGCCCTTTGATAAATTGTTGCTTGCTTGGCGTATCAGGCTGCTGTCAGCATCATGGTGGAAGAAAGCGGCTTCGCCAAGATCTTGCGTTGGAGGAATTCATGCCAAATGAAGGTGTTGTTGCGTGAGGCACTGCAGGAGTCAATGCCTCCAGACCTCCGTGCTCTGTTGTTCCAAGGAAGGAACTTGTCTGGCTTTCTACACGACTTTCAGGGCTTTAGCCTTATGAAGAAGTGGGACAAGAAAGCGATGTGGTGCATGTTCCCCTTGTTCGTCTGTGAAAGACTAAGTGAGGAGGTGTATACCCTCAAGCAGGAGTCGAAAATGTGGGATGAGTTGGAGAGTTCCTTAAGGCTAAGATTCCCAGAAGACGGAATAGAAAGCCAACGTGGGGAGTGCTCTGCTGGAAGGGGTCAGAAAAGGCAAGCGGAAGGTTTCAGAGGACTCCACAAGTAAGCCGACTGGCTAGGGTAAAAGAGGAGTAGAGAAGGATGACCAAGAGTCACCCTTCTCGATGGGAACCCCAAAGAGGCGAGCCAGTGTTCAGGCGAGGGACAAAGGCAAGAGGGAGGATGAAATAAAAGAGGAGCACGAACCTCTCAAGTTGACAAAGGTGCATCGGAAGGCGAGGAACCTCGCTCAGGGCAGTCAAGGTACCGAAAAAGGACAGAGTTCGCGGCAAGTAGCGGTTACCCCGCAAGAGGGGGAAGGCGAGGCAAGACCAAGGGGGCCTCCTCTGATCGAGCAAGCACTACATGGGCAGTGGGCGTCGGGTAACCGAATGAACTTGTGGCCGACACACAGTCCTTATATACCCTGAGCACAAAGCAATTATATGAGCCCTTGGATGAACATGATGCCCCATGGGCCCCCGCAAGTCCAAATCCAACCCGTCGGACCGTTGTGGCCAACGATACAGCAAGTTTCGCAGGACAGTATGACATATGGAAGGGGCCAAAGGAAGGCAGTTGGAAGGGGCCGTGAGGATGGAGGGCGTGGCAATACAGGCCGAGGAAATGGCGGGCGTGGAAATACGGGCCGAGGAGATGGTGGGCGTGGCAATACAGGCCGAGGAGATGGCGGGCGTGGCAAGACGGGCCGAGGAGATGGCGGGCGTGGCAATACGGGTCGTGGAGATGGTGGACGCGGCAATAGAGGCCGTGGGAATGACAGGCAAGGCGCCGAAGGTCGCGGCGGGAGCCAGCGAAACCATAAGTGGGGCTCAAGGAAGAAAGGGGCTTGATGGTGCTGGATGAGGTGGTTACTAGGGTGAGTCAGGTGACTAAGAGCACGAGGCGGGTAGGCGGAATGACTAGGAGTCGTAAGGAGTAAAAAGGGGATAGAATAGAGAAAGTATAGTAGGATAGAATGAGGATTCACCCTAACCCCTGGGTTGGGAAGTTTATGTCAGTCGTCCGCCTTGGATCCTTAGATTCGTGTTGGTAAAGTTTAGTTGTATATGTATTGATCTGGAAATTTGGAGTAACAGGTTAACCGTTGCGTGACCCTAACCCCGTACTAATTGGTAGAGGCTAGTTGCATATTATGTGAGTCAGGACAGACATATACTTTGATGTGTGTATGTGTATAGGTTAGATCCGGGGAGGTGTTTCACAATAATGGTCCGGTAAAGTAACTTAGGTTGTAGATAGCTCAGCCATATAGGTGAAACCAGGGGGGGCAGTGAGTGAGTGAGGACTGGTTCGCCAATACGTCAGTAGGGTAAAAGTTTCTTCTATATAGAGACTGAGCTAGATATGTGCATATCTAGGTGTAGTCACGACTAGTTTGTCCATCTGTACATATGCCTGTCTCTTATACACATCTAGATGTGTATAAGAGACAGGGCAGTGAGTGAGTGAGGACTGGTTCGCCAATACGTCAGTAGGGTAAAAGTTTCTTCTATATAGAGACTGAGCTAGATATGTGCATATCTAGGTGTAGTCACGACTAGTTTGTCCATCTGTACATATGCAGATTGTAGTACTGGATGAATCGTTTGTTTCCTCTTTTGGTGTGATTTAGGTGGTTGTGTTCAGGTGTGTGATATGTTGGTGTGTACAGTTGGGATAGATTTGTGTAATTTGAGTTTTGTGTATGTTCGGGTATATTCCGAGGTATTCGTGTGTTAGGAACGTGGGTCACTCAGCAGGCCGGGGCGTGAGTGCTGGGTACCTATGATGTTTTTTTTTAAAAGAGACACTTTTTTCTTTGGTGTACGTATTTGAGTTGAAACTTTATGAGGCTTGGTTTTTGTGACGATCACTATCACTCTCACTCGTGTGGCTTTATCCTGATGAATGTTGGCTTGGTGTGAAAGATGTGTGAATGTGGGACATGTAAAGCTGCCTACTCCTCGGTATACTCGTGTGACTTGCTCATGGGCAACTGATGGGGCAGAGCATAAGGGGAGGAAGTGCAGTCCGTTTGTGAAAAGTTAAGAGAATCTTGAGAAGATTTATGAGTCTTTGAGACTCGGGTGCTTCACCATGTCGGTTGTTGATTGCTTGAGTTGTAACGAGAACCCATAAGATGGTCCCTCAGTGATGTTTTGTCCTATGATGAGACCCCCAAGGATTTTTGGAGGAGGGGATGTTTTGTTCTATGATGAGACCCCCTTGGATTTTTGGAAAAGGGGGTGGTTTTATTGTTGGAAGACTCACCTTCAAAGGTGGGTAAACTGATTTATGGCATGGTAAGTTGTCTGATGAATGATAAAGTCTGACGAAAAGGGCCATGTCTGCTTGGAATGTTTGGGAAGGTCACAATGAGTGCAGGGCGAGAGATGTCTCAGGATGGGTGGCTGCTGGCTCTGATCAAGTCAGGGGTCACGGCCTTGTGGACCTAGCAGTGATTTTGTCCGTGATTGTGCGAAGGATGCCATGTCTTTTGTAGGAGAGTTGGTAAATGCCTTTCGACCCCTGCGAAAAATCGCAGTGGGCCCGTGATTTGTTTTGCGACGCTCCGTCTAACCACTTGTACTAGTTCTGGGACATATTGGAGGAATACCAAGCTAAGCGGTAAAGGTTAACACCTTTAGGGCATAACCCCAGTGGATGGCTGCTAGCCGGCGCAACCTGGCTGCGGGACCGCGGGGTAAGACTTTAAGGGGAGTTGCCCGCCCCAGGGAAATTACTCCGTGGGATAGTGAAGGTTGAGGTTTTTGGGAAATCCTGATTGAATGCTTATCAGGAGAAAACCTATAGTTGCGTAACCAACGAGGGTACTGCCGCCAAAATAACAACGTGGTGGGCTGTAGTCCTGGTCCGATTAGCCAGGCTATGGAGGGCCAAGATGGAGACCTAGCCTTTCTGTACTAGACTGCAGAAAGAGCTGAGTGAATATTAAGTATACATATATACGTATGTGTATTTGATTGCGAGAGATTTTCTAAGAAGGAAGGCGAGAGTGCCTTCAAGGGTCTCGGTTAGGGCCCGCGTCCCTAGTTTGGCCAGGACTAGGGACACCCAACAAGAAGTCGAAGGTTGTCTACGACCCGGGGGAGAGGAAGATTGGGAAGGTCTTTGAAACTTATACTGTCAGCGTCCTAATGCCTGGGCGATGAGGACCCGGGTTAGAAACCTGGCAGCATATAGTTGTGGAGGCATGGTTTGATGGAGGCCTCTACCCTATGTCTGTCGGCTAGTCGGATTGACCCCTCCTTTCGTCAGCATCTTGGGTAATCTGATAGCTTTTCGATTTGCGAAGCGACGGGGACTTCGCTTAATATGGTCCGGTAAGCTGTCGGTGCGAATACCCTTGCAAGGGTATCCGCCCTGCTTTTTGCAGATGACAGAAAATAAGTTTGGTTCAAAGTTTGAAGTATACCGCGTCAGGCGGGGCAGCGTCTATGCTTTTACGACGGCCGGATGGTTGACTAGAATAGAGAGTGTGTGGGCGCGCAGGCTCGAGGCGCGCGTGATCTTTTAATTGTTGATGATTGAAGAGTTGGCGTGATCGCTGACCAGATTTTTATTTTCTGATTAAACAGGGACTTAAAGATTATATCTCGTTGACTGATGTGCTCGCCGGAGACCCATGTGTACGTACAAAGAACGGCATCGACAACGAGGAGGCCCTGAAGTGTTTTCAGTACGCCTGCGCGTCGCGCAGTATCGGGTTATTCAGGTGTCCGTCAGAACCAAACTCAGTCTTGGCCCTAGCGCTATTCGTTATAGCGTCAACTGTTATCGAAGAGGTTCAGGGGTCGAGGCTGAGCGGCGACGTCGCGAGCGTATCGGAGTAACGAGAGTGGACCGGGGGGTTCAAGGGCCTGGCGGGGCTATTCCCCTTGGGTTAGTATTTGGCGATTTTTCTCGAGCGCGACACTGGCCGTGGGCAATCAGCCACGGAACGAGAAGGGTCTAAGTGTGAACATGCCCTTTGGGGGCCCGAAAGACAGCGGGCCGTCCCTGAGGACGGTCGGCCGGCCAAGCTAAGGTGGAGGGTTGAATGGCCGGCTGCGTGGGGCCATCCTAACTGAACTACCGTGGGCGTCGTGGGTCGCTACGGTCAGGCGCTTTCGCATTGAAAGCAGGGCGAAACTGTGGCGGGGGCGGCAGCAGTATCTGCTGGACACACCGCTCGTCGGGGCAGGGTAGAGGGGGGCGGAGGACTACTCGGGTCGCCGGGTAGTCGGCCGCTTTTGGGATATCGTCGAGATAACCTGACCAGACTGCGACGGACGTTGGAGTACGCGGTAGGAAGCCGAGGCAGCAGGCGGTAAGATAGTGAAGGGGTTGCTGCAGCGCAGTGGGAACGGGCGACGGGCTGGTGAGGAGCGACGGACAGCGATGCGCAGCGCAGTATCGATGGGCCACAGGCTGCTACGAAGGAGAAGAGGGGGAGTGAACCCGGACGGGATTTTTGCCGGGTGCATGCATAGAGAAGGAAAAGCTTGAAGATGGCGGGGTGCAGAGTCGGGCGTGGGATCCATGGTGGAATCGAGAGAGATAGGATGCCATCCCAGGGTTTTGGCCCCGGGCGAATCGAATGAACATATTAGTTTTAGTGCTAGGTGAGCGGGTTAGGAAGAAGTAAGAAAAGGTCCTGTGCGGTGGTAGCGAAGGGGGTGGATATGGCACGGCGGGAAAACATAGATCCCTCCCGTTTCTTAACAGAAACGATCGGGAAGGGAGGCAAAATGGGGGTTTTCTAGTGCCGCGAATTCGATGGTGAAGTTAGTTTTAGGTGTTAGTGGGTGAGTTCTGAGGTACGGAGGTTAGGGGCTGCGTGGATATGGCGGATGGAAGAGACGGTAGGGGAGAAGCTCGTTCTCACCTGTTTCTGAAGGAAATTAAGCAAGCCATGAGCCGAACCCGGGGTCTTTAACCCGGGCGAGCTGATTGGTAGCGTTAATTTGAGGGGTAGGATAGTAGGATGGGAGTTAAAAGAGAAAAGGGGCCGCGTGGGAATAAGGGGGGTACTTACCTCAAGGTGGGGCTGAATGTATCGAGTCGTGCTTCAGCGATAGGTACATCCGATTTCTTTCGTTATGTCGGTAGGAATAGTGAGGGGGGGGGGGGCGGCCGAGTGTCGAAGACCCACCTGTGTGTAGAGGAGCCGCCCAACCCTTCGATGGAGGCAGCTCCTCTCCCACTCCCTGCGCATGTGGCTGGACGGCGGTGTATATGCCCGTGTTCCTGCGAAAGGTTCATCCAATAGCAGTTTGCTCGATCTGACGGCAGAATAGCCCATTTCTACTCCTCCGCATGCATAGCCGTGAGGCCATGTATCTCCCCGCATTCTAGCGGAAGGTCCATTCATCGCTTTTCCTTCCTGGTACATGTTCAGACGGGACGCGAGCTTCTGCAGCAGACGAGCGCAGAGAGAGAGAGAGAGAGAGAGAGAGAGAGAGAGAGAGAGAGAGAGAGAGAGAGAGAGAGAGAGAGAGAGAGAGAGAGAGAGAGAGAGAGAGAAAGAGAGAGAGAGAGAGAGATCGCCCGCACCCGGCCGTTAGAGTTGGCCCCGGGGGCCGAACGACCGATGCAAGGGAAGTGAATGCAGGGCATCAGAAGCGAAGCAGGGTAGTGCTGGATATGATAGACATCGAAGCCGTAGAGGGGCCAGGCGAGATTTGAAGACGGTTGTTGGCGAAGGTAGCACTCGACCTGATGAGCGGAGTGGCAGCAAGACAGGCACCGAGCTGCAGATCTAGCGTTTAACTGGTATGAGGCCTCATTCTGCCGAGCAAAGGGGGGGGGCACGAGGCGAGCTGGGGGTTACGGTCTATCTGGTGACCAGCCCGCTGCCCATCATACTAGTGGGAGCCACGGGGGTCCAGCGATAGGGTGGACACTTTACCTAATCTCCAGAAAGGCTGCACAGCTAGTGTCTGCGGGGCCGCTGTATGAATAGCTAGCCATCCTGTTGTATCGTTGCGGACTGCGGATAGCAGACTGTTGGCTTAGCCACTTGTCGAGGTCGTTGCCGATTGTCTCATAACTGGGAAGCAAAGACGGAAGGGCTAAACAGCATGGGACAGCGGTAGGGCTGAGAGCTTATCTGCAGGCCAGCCAAGGAGGCCGTTTGCACCGTTTGAACAGGCCAGCCAAGTGTATTGGCCGGATTCAGGCTACTTGTGCAGGACCAGGGACTAGCGCAGCAAGCAGTGGTTGAGGTACGAGCGAGAAAGAAAGGGGGGGGGAACCGCAAATTGCATGATGGGCGCGATGTTGCAGATTGCTGACCACGCGGATAGTTGAGCAACGGATCCTAGGCACACGATACCGGAGGACAAATGTTGTATGCCTACTTGAGCATGGAGGGGGGCGCATAGTGACTACAATTTGGGGAAGTGACTAAGTGACAATAAGGGGAGTTACTGTTGCGAACTAGGAGCTCGTCAGGGAGTGACCTCGACAGTTGACTTATGTTTTGACCAAGCTAGAGCTGCGTCCTGGCCGCCGGTGCAGGGCCCTCAGGCGATTCAAGGTTTCAAGGCCCTCTCCCGCGAGTCTGAGTGCACCCCTCCTGGATCTGAGAGTCTGAAGCCTCCTCCTTCTGCCCTTCTTACTCTAAGTCTGGTCTTTTGGTTCTGAGAGGAAGGCGGCAGGCGGACGTGTGACCCGTGATCCGCGCCAAGGCCTTTGTGGGAGGTCACCCCACCGATTGCGGGAGCTCTGCCAGAACTCAGGAGGAGTTCTGGAGGCAGGGAATTGAAAGGTAACCATTGCTCTCCCTCTGTAAACCCATAGTATATCCCCTATCTGCATCACTTCTATGAGTTGACTGAGTATTCTGCATGCAGTTACACTTTGACTTTGGATTTGACTTTCAGGACACAAGCCAAATTAAGTAAAGGAATATTTGTGCAATTTCAGCTTTAGCTTTTGTTGATTCTATAAAAGCAGATTGTTAAAATACATCGCATCTGGGAAAGGCAGGATGGAGGGCTGGTTGATTGAGGGCTTGACTGGGTCATTAGGGCTGGGAGGTCCCCATTAGTTTGGGGAAGCCCAGCGCTTTGTTTTATTTTGGTTTCGCATGGAATAGTCAGACCCTTCTATAAGTTTAGGGGGTCTGATTGCTTTGAAGGCTGGGAAGTCCCCATAAGTTTGGGGAGACCCAGCGTTGTGAATTGCATGGAGGGTTATGACGCTCTATAAGTTTAGGTTACCTGACCGCTCTGACTTGTGAGGGCGTGATTGTGAGTGATTTTCAGGAACCCGGGGTGCTCTATAAGTCTAGGTACCTTGGGTCGCCTTGTTTACTTGGGGGTTCTTTCAGTTCCTTTGGTTGTGAACGAGGAGGTCTGAACCACTCTATAAGTTTAGGTGGTTCAACCCTTTTCTTACTTTATTTTGAGGAAGCAATTTTGGCAGGAGGCAGGCCGCTCTATAAGCTTAGGTGGTCTGGCCTAATGTCTCGCACAGAAGGGATCAGAGAGGAACGAACCTGGCAGAGGATCAGACCGCTCTATAAGTTTAGGTAGTCTGACCCAATGCCTAGCGCATACGGGAACCCAAAATGTTATAATTTGGCTATATTTTATTACTATCTATTTAAGAAAAGGCTGGTCAGACAAGGGTTTCATAAGATTGAATGGCCTGACTATAGCTTATCATAAATTGAAGAGAGTATAATTAAGAGTATAACTGAAGATAACTTGCGCCCGCTGAGCATTGTTTCTAAGATGAATGGCTCAGTCCTACGCCCACCTTGAAGATTAAAGTCAGAGAGGTATATACGGCTTGGGTATTTAAACAGTTCACAGCAATTAGGGTGGCCTAGTCATGTGCCCAAGGAAGAGAGAAGTAGTGGTGGTGCCCTCTGTTTCTATATACTTGGCTAAGTCAGAACGCTGTATAAGTTAAGGTATTCTGACTTTAGACCTGGCTAAGTTGGGCGCGCTCTGTAAGTTCAGGTGGCCTGACCTAAGCCTAATGTAAGTTGGGTATAAAGGAGTAACTCAAAGAGGGAGCATGAACTATTGTTTGCAAAGGACTTGGGAAAGGTGAGGATACTTACCTTTGTGGTTGGACCTGCATGTGACTGAGTGAGGCTACTACTTGGTCTGAGTTCCAGGTTGATAGGTAGTTGTTGTAGTTCCTCGCCTCGTGCTAGAGCGATAGGAGTTAGCTCCATTTCTGCATTTTGTGAGCTAAGTTTATTTTACTTAGATCAATTTTCGCATTTTTTGGGATCGTTTGTTATACTTGGCTTTGTATAAATTTTGGTAAGCTACTTTCTCTACGGGAAGCGCTGCCGAAATTTCTGCAAATCCAAGGAGTTAGTCAAATTTTGGCTTGTCAAAGTTCAACTTGTCTAAAATTTATATATGAATTAGTAAAAATTTGGAAAGTCTCCCTTTCTAAAAGGAGTGCTGCCCAAATTTTTACTAATTCAGGGAGTTAGACAAAATTTGACTTTGGAAAGTCAAAGACCATTTCTGTTTTCATATTTGGGATGATATAAATTCTGAAAAGGCACTTTTCCTACGGGATAGAGAAGGATAATCAACTCCACAAATATCGATTAAAACTCGAAATTTTGTGTTCGTATGATTTTTTTAAAAAAAGAACATTTGAAAAAGATTGTCTAGGTTGGTATATATACAAATTTTCTTTTTTGATATTTTATATTTGTTAATCCATTTTGGTAAAGTAGCTATCAAAGATTTGAAAAACAATTGATTGTGCGCTGCCGAAATGTTACTTAGTTTAAAAGAGATAGATTATATTTTGACAGGTAGCGATTCTGGCGATCCACCCCGAAATGGGGAGATCCTGCCGTTAGTCTACCTTTGCTTTGGGAACTGGTTTAGGGGTAAACTTGGATTTAGTTGGCAGGTAACCTAGAGTGAGAAGGTGCTATGGAGGTTCATCCCCCATGCACTAACGACTTAGCTTGAGGATTGCCCTGTCTTATGGTACAGACTTTCGTTGGACTTCGATTCAGGACTTGGGCTAATTTCAGCTTGATCCTACAAGGATCATCTTCTATTATCACTGATAACAGGTCGGTTGCCGATTCGTCGGTTTGCGATTCAACTCCAATCCACTTTTGTCACTTAACCTAAAGGCTTTAGCGTTGAGGCTTGAACTGTTTTATTGTGTTTTTACCTGGACTTCATTGAATGGTCATTTAACGAAAGTACTGAGTATTTATTTTGAAGAGTTGCACGAGTGAGGCTTGTATGGCTAAAGCGAGGGGTATGAGTGCAAGGAATGGTTGAGGTTGACCCCGTGTAGCGCGTGGACCTTTGTTGAACCTTTAATGTGATTGCAGGTATGTGCGTGGTTCGGGCTTTGGATGTGAGTGTCTGCGATTACATACATATATGGCTGAGAGAAGTCCCACTGTGACTGTGAGAAGTGATCGTCCTATATAAGTAAGCCTTGTATATATATTTATATATGCCTTGGGTATGCGGGCGACTTACTTAGATCGTGCGCAACGGTTAACCAGGTTATGATTTGAGAGAAAAGGGAGATCCCTTCTTACCCTTTTACTTTTTAGAGATTTTTACAGTCGAACGTTGGTCCAGAGACGGGATTCAAGGTCCTTGTCCAGGACATCCCAAGCCCTAGACTTTGCAGGGAAGGAATCTGCCCCCGTGCAGAGCCTATTTGCCTTGCCTACCGAGACGCTCACACCAAAGGCCAGAGGTCTCGCGACGGCTACACGACTATTCCTTCAGTCGTGCAATGTTGTGAAGGATTAGACCCTCGCGACACTTCGAGTCTGACACTTGAGTATCATAAGCGGTACTCGGATCCACGAGGGACTGCTTGATTATGGGCACTACATAGTACGCCATCATTGCAACTGCTTGCGCATGTTTGCGTTGCGAGTCGATATGAGATAGCCTTGCGTCCGCGCGGTTTTAAACTAAGTCTCGCGCGCGACGCCTATTCGATTTCCGCATCGGAAAGTTATGGGATGGCTACCGAGGGACTAGGAGGTTTGTCGCGTGCTTGTGTTATGTCGTTTCGTATGTATGTGTGTGTGTTTTATTTTTTTGTTCGTAAAGTGGTGTGCGCGTGGTGTGTGGGATGCATCCTAGTCGACTGACATCGAGCCGCGCTTGGGACTTCAGCCCCCCAAGATGTCGGCTCGCGTGCGGGTCCGATAGGCGTATTACCGCACATACCCCCTATGCTACAGCGAACGAGAAACGCCCTCGTCTGGTCCACCTCTGTCATTGTAACTGATTAGCTTTCGTACTGTGGACTGGTAGCTCGGCGGGGATACGCCCACCGAAGGGAGGTGACAGCTCCCGTAAGGTGGAGGTAAGTCGTATCTCGCGTAAGCCCTATCCTGTCGTAGGGGCTCGCGGGAGGTATGGCTGGCGCACTCGGCCGAAGCGGCTTGCGGAAGCTCCATGTATATTTGCGACGAATGATTAAAACCAACTTCTGTGTGACGCGGCCGGGAGGGTCCCGCGCTGCCCTAGTGAGGTGCCGGACCGATGCGCTCGACAACGCGAGTGTCAAATTGCGTTGTTGATTGAGGCTAAGACTCCGAAAGTCTGGCCTATTAGGTCAAAAGGGTTCAGCTGGAACCCTACTGCAACGAATCTAGCAGGTGTCATTAAACCCTAGTATTTATGTCTACACGTGGTTTTCGTATTTCAAACTGATTCGAACACAATCGTTACTTGTCTTATGAGAACCCTTATCGAAATTCAAGCGAGCGGGACGTCATTGTCATCGTTTTTGCGCATTCAAGCAGATAATTGTTGGCGGGAAAACAAAAACAAGTACATATGTGCGTTAGTTAAACTATTGGCTAAGTTCAATGTTTTCCAAGAGGTGAGAATAGGTTTGATGCCTGGACATACCCATATAGATGTTGACGCTACTTTCAACATTTTCTCGAAGATGTTGAAAGACATAGACGCTTATACCATGAACAAGTTCTACGAGTTCATAGAGAAATCTCACAAAAAGTATCCCAAATGTATTTTCCTCGATACACTGGCAGATTGGATAAGTATAGTAGACCTATACGTTGCGTCAGACATTACTGGTATTTCGAAATCGCACTTGCTTAAGTTTCTGATGGTTGCAGATAATCCGGGCATGTTGTACAAGGAGTTTTACGATGACAACAACTGTTTCTCCGAGAAAGGTCTGATTTATTGGGTGAATCAAAACCCAGACGAAAGCTACGCAGGTCCTTCGTGGTGACCTGCCTCCTGTGCAACCCCGTCGTCGAAATGATTATTATAATGACAAAAATAGTGTAATAGGATTCCTCGAGTTGCTGGAGAGCGGGCGGTCAACATGGTGCACTTATGATGACCATGAAATGAGTAGGAGAGAAAGAGGTTTGTGTTACGGGGACGAGGTTATCAAATATGGCGACGAGATCATCACAAACAGGTTGTCCTCATAACCTTTGGAAAGTTTTTGGCCAAAATCACGGTTGCTTGAAAACGATCAACAACCTTCTCTTGACAATGCCAACATCAACGACAGGGAACCCCTGTTTGTTGGAGGAAGACCCGAAGACCAGTTTCGACCCCCTCGTGCATGTTGACATGGACACTTTTCTTATCCTTCACCCCTCTGACGATGATCTGTCCAGCGGGTTGCCTAACTGGGTGAGCAAAGCTCTTTCTCGGGTGGTTGGTGAAAAAAAAATGCCGAATTAAAATCAAGTGTTAGTGGAACATTGGGTGCCGACTAGGAGAGCAAAGTCGCTCGAACAACTGTATGAGAACGCATGGGAAAAATAATGAAAAATGACTGACCAGACACAATGGCAGCATGCCGACTCGATCGCTTTTGCTTAGGAGAGACCGACCAAAGGTACAAAACCGTTCACGGCTGAACTTGTGATTCCTTCCAATGTTTGACTGAATGCTGA